TTCATTAGTTTCAATTATATTTAGATGAATACCCATTTGCATACATCTTTAAGATGGATGCTTTATACCTCGGGGACGGCAAATGTAGAAATGAGGTCCCCGCCGCATATGAGCCCATGTAGAAATGAGTCACCTCTTAAAAATTTATTTTTTAGATGGATTTTGGGACCTAATTTGAAGGACATGCAATCTGTAATATGGAAATCATGAATATGAAAAATAAATAAAATTTTAATTAATTTTATTAATAAAAAATTTAGACAGTTAGTTTCAATATTTTTAGATAGACTACCTATTTGTATTAATCTTTAAAATGGATGCTTTATACTTCAGGGACATTAAATGTTGAAATGTTGTAACTGCTGCATAAACAAACTTTTTTTTTTTTTTCGAGTGAGTAAACAATTTTCTTTTTTCAAAAAGAAATCATTGGAAGAAAGGATAGTGCCGATATTTATAGCATGTAAAAAGGTAAAATATGTCATGAATTTTGAAAAAAAAATTTATTCTATGCGGGACCCATTTCTACATTTGCGTCCCCTATGTATAAAGCATCATCCAGAAACGATTGAAGTTAACAATGCAATGTTTTTTCCGTAAAACATTATATTATTTTTAATATTTATTTATTTATTCATACTCATAGAGGTATATGTCCTTAAAAAAAAAAAAACAGAAAAAACCCAAGAGTCCATCTCAAAAATAGATTTGCAAGAGGGGACTCATTTCTACAAGGACTCAGTCCATTTTGGAAAAAAAGCGATATTTTCATGTGTTTAACGTGCTACTTACAACACGGGCTTCTTTTGCCTGAGGGGAGAGAGAAACAGTAGAGAGAGATGATAGGCAACAATCATAGAGGGGGCAAAACTGTGGAGAGAGAAGGGGGAAAGTAGTAGAGAGAGAAGGGGTGGGCAAAGAGGAAAGCGTTACAGCAGCTGCTTCCCTCTGAGGAGAGAGAAGAAACCAGTAGAGAGAGAGAAGGAGGAGGAAAAAGGTTAGAGAGAGAGAGAAAGGGAATGGAGAGCAGTGAAGAGGAAGATTTCCCATCTCATGAGTGGATCACTCCACAAATTAGAGTGGACTCCATGTACCAATCCAAGACTGAGAAGGCATATAATTTGTTTGCCCCTACCATTTCATTTGCTGCATTTCTTCTCTTTCGTTTCCTTCCTATTCAGTTTCACTGTAAGACCCCCCCTAAATGTTCACTGAAGATATTTTACTTCAAATATTCTGAATTTATTGGGATATGGGTTTCCATTTTCTTCGGGTTTTGAAGCAACCCATGCTCTAGAAAATCTATTTAATGGTCTGTAATTGTAGTAAATAGAAATCTGTTTGGCTATTTGTTCTTACCATGGTGGGTTCTCACTGCATTGTGTTCTAAATTGCATAAAAGAATGCACTTTTTTGACATAACTGTGTATTTTTTGGTTTCCTGTAAATTTTTAATTACAGGGCATTAGGAGGCTTTGTTCAGAACTGCTTGATCTAAAGGACGCAGTAGACAACTTATGTGGTAATATGCAGTCCAAGTACACGGCCTTTGTTAGGTAACAAATACTTGATTTTTATGTGAAAAGTTTTAATTGCTATCATTTGCATGGAAAATTCACAAGCGAATAGATATTCAATTGAGCTTAATTTGTTTTTATTTTTTATTTTTTTTTATTTTTATTTTTACAGTTTTTATTCCAAAGCTTGAGCTCGCATAATGATAGCAATTAGAAATGTTACTGATAATGGGGGGGTGTATTTACCAGTTATATTAGTGAAGACTTTGCATGTTACTTACAATTGTTCCAACCTTTTAACATTTTGTTTTTTGGATAAGTAATGAGAACTTTACTTGTTTTTTCAGTATAATCAAAGTCTTATACATAACCCCTATAATTGAATCTTCCGCATTCAATTCCTGTTTTAGAGGAGCCATGACCGCTTTGCATGTTATGTGCCTCCCTGTACCCTGAATTCTTTAGAAGGCTATCTGAAACCTCCGATACCACAACAAAAGAAAAAAAGAACAACCTCTCACACCGTATAATGTTTATATCTGGACTGGTGCTTACACTCTGTTACCATACATTTGCAACCTCTATACACCATGCCATTAACTCATAGCTGTCTTGGAAACCATTATTTTACTTCCCCAGCTCCTGTCCTAATCCTCACGGCACTTAACAGTTTACTTCCCCATTCAGTATTTGAAACGATTATCTATCCACAAAGCCCTCTTTTTCATTCTTAATTGGAATATGCATTATCTATAATGAGGATTTAGTGACCGTGTTTTCATTCCAAATTGTCTTCTTGCTTTGTTCTTTTGGGTAATAGGCCCTTACCACATTGCAGAGATGCATCGTCTTCTTTCATTTCTTGCACTCTACCGAGCTCCCTCTAGAGCATGTCAAAAAGATTATTCTCTGAGGGAGCATCATCAAGAGCACCATGAAGTATATCAGTAGGTTGCCAAATATAGCCTCATTTTTAGTAATTGGACCCTTAGATGATGATTGGAAACTAAATTTTAGTCTTGCAGACCTACTAACCATTTTTTCTATCACTGTATCTCACAATTGTCTTCTCTGTGCATCGGCATAGAGGAGGAAGGCCAAATGTATGTTCTCATGATTATTTATTTTTTGAGAGTTCGAATATGCCTGTTGGAAATGCTTCCATTTTTTAAGAAGTATTTGGTTCTCTTTGGTAGAGGCAGGCTGCTAATTATCAATTCAACTGGCTACCATCTTACAAGTTACAACTGATGATACTAGGATGAGGTTGACCCTCATGGTTAATCCCAGATAGAGCATAATTTTTTTGGTAATCAGTGGTTTTGAAAACCATTTATTGTGTATGTTATCTTAGCTTTGTAATGCATTTCCCGCTCTAAGGTCACAACGAAGGACTGCATATTTAAAGCTCCAGGAAAGAGAATACAGTCAGCAAAGGTTTTGTAATGCATTCCCCACTATAAGGTGACAACGAAGTGTCTTTAGTAATGAGAGTCAAGTCAGCAAAGGTCTAGGCCTAATGTTATGGTTCGAGAAGTTGTCATTTGTAAATAATATTTTGAACCGTGAAAAATTTGCCTCTGAATATTTAAAGGCTTTTGATGCTCAACACAGGAAGTGACTCTGGGGTGGAGAAATCATTTCAAATTTTTAACAGAATTTTTGATAGTGGAGTTTGTGGTACTAGAAATTGTGCAGTTATTTGGTGGAATGGGTAGTTATTTGTTTCGAGACCAGATAGCTTTATGGGAAATGAAGATGCATAGAAAATGTGGCCAATTGATTTTGAAAGAGAATAAAACATGATTAAGTGATGTGCCTGACCATGCAATGTAGACAAGTGTTATCAAAACTGGACCCTATAGGCTGGTCCTATTAAGTGATGTGCTAGTCTGATTTGATAATATTGATATGGCATCTACTTGGTAGTCTCATATATTTTGGAGTTATCAATATATTAGTTTGGAAGTGGCTTGCAACTGCTAGTATTACATGTCGTTTTCATGGATAATCTGACAATGAAATTGTTTCCTCAGGCCATGCATTTTATGTGGCATTTGTGGGATAGAAACTCTTTGTTTGTGACATCTGGTAGAATTGAGGGGAAGTATCAGTCTATCAGGATAAGTACTTGCATTTTGCTAATGTAGTAGAGGCATTTGTAATTATATACATTCGGTGTATTTTGTTCTTATGTGCATGTAAATATAGCTTCTTATTTTGTATCTTCTTCACTGGTATATGAGCTGGCATTGTTATGTTACTGAATGAGAATCATATAAATAGATTTCTCCATTCTACCTCTAAATGTTCTTTTCCATGTGTGTTGTTTCATAATATTTGGAATCTGCTTTGTCTTACAAAAAACTGGTATTAAAAAATGGGTGTACGTCTTATGTTTTCCCTTGCAACTTCTGGTTCATCTAATTATAATTTTGTGATTTTGTTCATGTAATCTAGTCTTTTGGTTTATTGCTCAGAATGCTAAGATGCACTTCATGGACACCTTTTTGTATTTTTGAAAAGGATGCTCTTCTTGGACACTGATAAGCCATGTCTCCTTAGTCTTTTAAAGGTCATGCTATTGAAATCAGAATACCGCGATTCTCTTTTTTTGATTCTGCTATGGATTATATTTGTCAGCCTAATTTAACTTTGTTAATTTATTTATGATTTTTTTAATTAAGTTCCATTTCCGTAATGGATATTATGGTATCTTTGTATGCAGATTATCAGAAGAAGTTATTGAAATGGAGCATGAATTAATTGATCTTCAAAAGCATATATCTACCCAGGGGATTCTTGTACAAGATTTAATGAGAGGTGTTTGCCGTGAATTGGAAGAATGGAAGAGTGGGGCATTTGAGGCTAAGCAAGATCTTCCCTCCTATGAAATTGAAGACTTCCCACCTAATCAGATGCAAGACCCCAAGACTGAATTCTTTGACACCATAGACGTTCTTTTAGCCGAGCATAGATCAGAAGAAGCCCTAGCTGCTCTAAAGTCAGAAGAGGAAAAAAGCCAAGAGTTGCTCGAGTCAAAGGATAATTCAGTTTCTTCATATAAGCTTGCTTTTCTGAAAAGGAAGGAAATGCTTTCAGAACAGCTGGTTGAAATTGCAGAGCAGCCCTCTTCTGGTGTTCTTGAACTGAAGAAATCATTACTTGGGCTAGTTAAGCTTGGAAATGGTCCTTCTGCCCATCAGTTATTGTTGAATGCATATGGATCGCGCCTCCAGAAGAGCATTAATGGTTTTCTTCCATTGTGTTCAATATACCCAGGAACGTACTCAGCCAGTCTATCGCAGCTTATATTTTCAACAATCTCAGTTGCATCAAGGGAGTCTAATTCTATATTTGGAGATGCTCCCCCCTACGGCACGAAACTTAAGCAGTGGATTGAGTGGGAATTAGAGTCTATGGTTCAGTTAGTGAGAGAAAATGCACCTTCATCAGAGACCCCAATCGCCCTTCGTGCTGCCACTGTTTGTGTTCAGGCTAGTCTCAGTCACTGCTTGATGTTGGAATTCCTAGGGCTGTCTTTCTCTCAGTTGCTTTTAATCCTTTTATGTCCATATATGGAAGAGGTCTTAGACATGAATTTCAAACGAGCTATGAATGTGGTTGTGGACTTTGCAGTGAACGATGACATGGTGCTCTCATCACCTCAGTTCTCATCTCCATTTACACCATCAAATATTATGGTAACTAACAGTGGAAAAAAATTTATATCAGTAATTCAGGTAAGTTTACCGGCTCTCTTGAAATCTAAATCACCTGGATAATGTCGTCAATAGAAGAAATTCCAAAAAAAAAAAAAAGAAAACAAGAGAAAAAGAAAATGTCACTTGGAACATTTTAACAGTGTCATTTGAGAGGAAAGACCTTATTAGGCCAAAGTTTTTTCTTCGAGGATTATCTTTATTGTGGTATAAAATAAATGTACACTTATTGTTTGCTATAACGGTTTGGAGCATTTTTTGGTCTCCTTATCTATTGGGATTGTAATTGTATCTGAAGAATTTGTTATTCATGATCAAGTGTCTCTTTTGTCTCAATTTCTCTTTTTTAGATCAAGAGTTGTCTTCTCTCTCATATCTATGTTAATATTATTATGGACTTTAACGATCACGAGTGTGTTATTCTGTATTAAGTTACCAGAAATCATTGTCCAGGTCCTCCATTATTTATCCTTTTTTTTTTCTTTCCAATTCCCCTGAGAATGACCACTTCTTAGGCGATGAAACATGCACTTGGTCTTTTCTCTAGTAATCCCTGGTCGTTTAGACTAACAGGTCTAGTTTAGAAGCTATAATTAATTAACATAGAGGGAGGGAAGGTGGGAGGGACATAGTGCCATACTGGTTCAATCTATGCATATTATTCCTCTGATTAAATGCTTAAGTTCTGCTTTGCAATACGAAATTTCATGTGATACCAGATATCATGGTCTAAGGTATGACATCATTTTACTGTTATTGACAGGAAATTGTTGAACAGTTAACACCAAATGCCATTCTTCATTATGGAGGAAATATTTTGTACAGGCTGGCTAAGTTGTTTGATAGCTACATAGATGCACTGATTAAAGTCCTTCCTGGTTCCTCTGAAGATGATAACCCTTCAGAGAACAAAGATAACATAAATTTCAGGGCAGAAACAGATGCTCAGCAGCTTGCTTTATTGGGCACCGCCTTTACTGTTGCTGAGGAGCTTTTACCAATGGCAGTTTCAGGTATTTGCAGTCAAAAAAATGAAGGTGATGAGCCAGTGAGTATGTCCTCTGATAATTCCAATCTTCTACCGGGTAATACTATCGAATTGAAAGATTTGAGACGCCATCTGAAGCCATCGCTTGATAAGCTTAGAGACCATTATTGTCGGCATTATGTGTTGAGTTTCATTTATTCAAGTGATGGAAAACCGAGATTAGATGCTCGACTATATTTGAATGGGAAAGCTGAAGATTTGTTTTGGGATTCAGATCCACTGCCTTCTTTACCTTTCCAAGTAGGTTAAATTCTCTTGAATTATGTTGCTCTTCTCTTGCTTATTTTCTCATTTTCTATTATATACAGTATATTTATGAACGAAAAGATTTTGGTACTCATAATCCATTGGTAATCACCATCCAATGAAATGATGGAGGTTCGGGCCATATCTTCGGGCAGGTGCCATGTTCTCTCCACGAGCACCCATCATTTTATCGGGCAATCATAATCCCATAAGACTATGACTTCCCAAACCGCATCAAATTATAATATACCTTGCATTTCCTACTGCTGTTCCTTTTTTTTTCCTGCTTTGTTTTTTACAAACCATTTCCTGAAACAACGCTCTAGGCCCATACTTTGTTTTATTCCATTTATCTCACCAATTCATTGTTCGTTGGGTCAGGCATTATTTACGAAATTGCAGGAGTTGGCAAGTGTTGCTGCAGACGTGCTGATTGGGAAAGAAAAAATTCAGAAAATTTTGCTTGCAAGGCTAACTGAGACTGTGGTCATTTGGTTATCTAATGAACAAGATTTCTGGGAAGTGTTTGAGGATGAATCTGTGCATCTGCAACCATTTGGATTACAACAAGTATGCACCTTGCTCTAATAATCTTGCACTAGAATAGCAAGGCTCTTCTGATGATTGAGGAAGATTTACCATTTTTTATTGAGCAAAAGCACCCAGTTTGGTTTTCTAAAGAGAGAAACAGTATAGATTTAGGACGTGTTTGGTACGCATGAAAGTACTCCCTCATGTGATTAGGTGTGGGAGTTTTTTTGACACCAGTTGGTCCCATCGCATGTTTCCATACCAATTGGCGGCCCATTGGTGAGAAAAAACTCCCAAACCTGATCACATGGGTGAGGTTTTTCATGTGAAGATACTTTTACAGAAGTATTTTGAGCGTACCGAACATGCCCTTACTGTTTGCATCCTAATGAAAATTGGAACCATCCCTACCAGGTGTTGGTTGGCAAATGTTGTTATTATCTATTGCAGTGACCCTAATACAGTCATATTTTCTTGCAACATCAAGTTAACATAGTTATGGATGTGAAGTTCTTAGCTGTGATGCCAAATGAAGAAGAAAAAAATCATGGTTTGTATGGCTGGTATATAACCTTCCACAATGCCCAGGCACATAAATCTTTCATTTTGAATCAATGGTCATGTTCAAACATTAGTGAGAAACCATTTTTTTCATATTTTTATATCAAGAAACAGGCGGTTTTATATTATTTTCATCACAATCAACACTATTTGTATTTTTGCATGTGTGCATGAGACCATGCACATGTAGAAAGGGAGGGAGATGACCTAATGGCGTGCAAACACTTTTATTTATTTATTTTCTTATTATTTGTTCTAACATTTATTCTTTTTTGTCCCATTAGTTAATTTTCGACATGCACTTTATTGTTGAAATAGCGGTGTGTGGGGGTTACCCTTCTCGACAAGTGCGCCAAATTGCACTCGAAATAATCTCACGTGCTATTGGGACCTTTGCGACTAGAGGCATAGATCCTCACAGGTAAAAAAGCCCACCAGTGTTTACTTCAATAATTGTTTTCTATTGCTTACTCTTTAATGTTGGTGTCCATTATACACATTATTAAACACAATGTATCATCATCATTATCATCGAAGCCTTTTCCCAATTAATTGGAGTCGGCTACACGAATCTTGATCCTCCATTCTGCTATATTAAAAGTCATACCCTTAGGAAGGCCATAAGTTCTCATATCTTTTGCCACTACTTCTAATCAATGTCTTTTTGGGCCTACCCTTACCCTTTTTGAGCTTTCTACTTGAATTCACACCTCCTAACATATGTTGTACTGTGTCTGTGCCACACATGTCCAGCCCACCTAAGTCTACTTTCTCACATCTTATCGTCTATCGTGACTTGAAGCAGGAAATCAACCATATGGAGTTTCTCCTATTTTATGTATTTACCTATTACCATAGCGGAGATCAATCAAAAGTGAGTGAACGGGTCTACCCCTTGCCCTTTTTGGGCCTTGCACTTGAACTAACTCGCACCTTGTAACATGTGTTGTATTAGGTCTGTGCCACGCATGGCCAGCCCACCTAAGTCTAGTTTCTCATATCTTATCATCTATTGGTGCTAAACCTAAATTCCCTCGAATGTATTTATTTTGAATTTTATCCCTTCTTGTCTTTTTACCCATCTATCCACCATCCTCATCTTAGCCACCCAACATTAATTCTATGGGTATGTCGTTCTTGACCACTTAACATTCTGCCTCATAAAGTAAAGCTGGTCTCACAGCTGTCTTATAGAGCTTGCCCTATAGCTTCATTGGTATGCGGTGATCACATAAAACTCCAGTTGTACATCTCCACTTCGCCCACCAAGTTCTAGTTCTATGTGTGACATCTTCCTCAATCTCTCTATTTTCTTGGATTATCAACTCAAGATATCGAAAGTGCGCTCTTTTTGGTATTTCTTAGCCGTCAATCTTAACTATTTCCTCGTCTCTATTCCTATTATTATTACATTTACATTCTATATACTCTGTCTTAGTCTGATTAATTTTAAAACCTTTAGATTTTAGAGCTTCCCTCCAAAGTTCTAACTTATTAAACACAATGTATAGTGTGTATTACATGGTCATCTCCACCATCCATAAACAATGGAGATGGACCTAATTAGCCTAGCAAGACGAGTACAGTTCATCTTCACTGTCCACTGTCAGATTGAAGAATGGAGATGGTCCTATAGCATACACAAAATATACATTTTATATGCAATATACTTTACCTTTCAGTTTCTGAATATGATTTGGCGATTATGACCGGTTACATAATATATCTCAGTGCCCTACCTGAAGATGAGTGGTTTGTCGACATGGCAAAGGCAGCAATAAATCGATTTTTATTGGGAACTCCCGAGTCATCAGAAGTTGATGAACACAATGAAATTCCAATTGAAGAGTCTGATTTGTCAGAAATCGATGAAGACCATGTTGCTGAGACTGACAGGAAATTAGAGTTATCGGATGGGCATATAAATTTAGAGTTTGAAGGCTCTGATTTTGATGAAGAGGTTAATAGCTCATGCAGTATAGAGTCAGGGGAGTCATTTGCCTCAGCTCGCATGGATGACAGTGCGAGCCCATCTTCCTTAACCGACCCCGAAACCTGATGAAACATATCACTCAGAGGTGAAACCCTCTCTCTAACCAGGACAAGACCTCATTTATCCATCCAAAATTACCTCTGTTATTTACAGATGAGACCTCTTCTCTCACCATCAAAAAATGTTTGGCTACGAGTAAGAAAAAGTGCCATATGCAGATCCATGCATGGATGCTCCATGTTTGTGATTCGTGATTGAATGGGAATCGCATTTTTGTTAAGGATGTGTCCATCCATGTTAGGACAAGTACTGTACAATAGTTGATCGTTTGAGATTAATCCGGTTGTTGTTATGTAACATGTAAATTATTCTAGCAATATGGTTCAAGGGCGCTTGTAGTGAGACTAATGGAGGTGACAAAAGATGTCATTGCTCAGTATGGGTTCTAAATCTCTCTCTTTGAAGCAGTGTTGGCAAACTCGGCCTGTCCAACTCTGAACCGGCCAGTGAAACTAGTCCTAGGAATTGGATGATCCGGTTTTGGTGGTCAAGCCGGGCATTTAAAAATAAAATAAAATAAATTGTATATAAAATCCCCAACGAACAGGGATTTGTTTGTATTGTGTTTTTGAATGTTTTTTATTATTTTGGCAGAGATTGGAAAGTGTTTTAGCCATAGAATATTTATTTTTATATTTTTTTATATGTTTTAGGAGAATTTCAAAAATATCCTTGGGTACAAATCTATTTTTTTCTACTAATTTTCAAGTTGATTTGGATGTGTTTTGTTGAATCATGTTTTAAATATACTTTTTATATGGAGATGCTTTAAATATACTTTTTATATGGGGATGACAAGAGATGTCATCACTTATAGTGAAATTAATGGAGAAGACAAAAGATGTCATTGCTTGGTATGGGTTCTAAATCTCTCTCTTTGAAGCAGTGTTCGCAAACTCGGCCTGACCAACTTGGAACCGGATGGTGAAACTAGTCCCGGGCATTGGAAGATCCGGTTTTGGTGCTCAGGCCGGTTATGTAAAAATAAAATAAAATAATTATATATAAAATCCAAAAAAAAAAAGGGATTTGTTTGTGTTGTGTTTTTGAATGTTTTTTATTATTTTGGCAACGCCTGGAAGGTGTTTTAGTTATGAATATTTAATTTTATATTTTTCTATATTTTAGGATAATTTGAAAATACCTTTAGGCACAAATCCATTTTTTACCACTAATGTTCAAGTTGATTAGGATGTGTTTTGTTTAATCATGCTTTAAATATATTTTTCTATTGTTTTGGATTTTTTTTAAAGGAAAGGTTTCTATGCTTCTTCTACAGCATAGAAGTTTTATCCTCTTTTTATCATCCAGCCGTCCAATTTTGATCAAGAGAGCCAGTCACCGTTTGATCTTAGATTCGACGTTTCAAAGTATTGTCTTTTTAATTTTTTTATATATAAATTGTATGAATATGAAATTTGGTATGTGTCATCTTCTTATTGGGGCGCACCTATAAAAAATATTAAAAATAATTTTTAGATAAAATATAATGATCAAAATACTTGTTGAAACTTTCAGAGGTATTTTGATCATTTTATTTTATTAAAATAATTTTTTTTTTTTTTTTTTTTTATTATTTTCGTTAGTGCGAGTTTAATAGAGGAATTGACGTCCAAAATTTGGTATAGTTTATATAAAAAAATAAAAATAAAATAGCATAGAGATGTGACATTGTGATTGGGGCAATCTTAGCCTTCCACACAAAATGGACGGTTGAATAAAGGAGAGGATGGATCTTCTATGCTGCAGGGGAAGCATAGAAAAACTTGCTCTTTTTTTAATACGTTTTGGATTCGTTCGGTTAGGTTAGTTGAATCGGCCGGTTTACTGGTTACTTGGTCGCAGCCCATATCTGGTTTCCGAAGCCGGTTCAATTTTTCAAACACGCTTTGAAGTCACTCGCAACCTTTCTTTGGGGTCTCTTAATTTCCTGATCCTTCCATATCAGTTTGAGAGAGAGAAAAGAGAGAGAAAGAGAAGAGAGCCTTTCTTTGGATGTTTTGTATTTCCTGCGCTTCCATTCATTTAGAGAGAGAGAGAGAGAGAGAGAGAGAGAGATATGGCCAAACTGTTATTAAAAGACAATAAGAGAGAGGGAGGGACATGGCCAAACTGTCATCAAAAGATAACCAATTGGAGTGTGAAGATCTCAATATGATGACTGCCCTAAAAAAAGATCTCTTGATGATGGCTTTTTCTATTTTTTAATCTACATAAGGTACATATGTTTCGTTTTGCTCCTAATCAATTAATCAACAAAGGTGGCATTTCTTTTCAAATTGTTTTAGACAGTGGCCTTGCAGGTTGTTTTCATTCTATATTTTTTTTGGCTTTATCCCAAATAATCAATTAATCAACAAAGGTGGCATTTATTTTCAAATTGTTTTAGAAAGTTAGCCTGCAGTTTATTTTCATTCTATATTTTTTTGACTTTATCCCATAAAAGAGTATTTAACCACATTGCAGCAGTTGGTAATCTACATAATTATGTCCACAACACATAGAGGGTACAGACTGGCTTGAATTTTACTAATTTTTCTTTATTCATAGTTTAACAAAACTAAAAGTCCTCAAGTGTATTGTGGAATATTCGGATGGTCTAAACCAATTTAGACTTTATTCAGGTTTTTTCCATGCTCATGAACCTTGATGTCCACACAAACCAAACATTTTCACTTAATCTGGAAAATTAATATGCTTTGAAGCTGAGAAATGCAAGGCTGGAGATTCTTTTGTTACAACAACACTTGACCTCATCTAAGTAATCTCTCTCTCCTTTTTTACGTTAATTTCATCGCAATAGTCTTTAGCATCATTTTTCTCTCCTTTATGGGACTATTTTTGAATGGGGAATTTCCTGTCAGTAAATTATAATTTATATTGAATAGCCGATCCCAAATAGTTAGGAAGAGGTTCAAATAATAATGACCCACACATATCCAAGAGACAGAGCAACAAAAGATTTTACTTCTTACGAGAGAGAGAGAACTCCCCACACAGTGGGATCTTCATTGCAACAAAAGTTTTAGTTATGGACACGGTTTCTATGCGACCAGCCCGTATATTGTAAAAATGAGGGCTTGGCAATAAATATATATTTTAAATATAATTTAGTCTTAATTTTTAAAGAATATATAATCTTTAACATGGAGATCATAAATATGAAAAAATAAAATAAAAATAAAAACTAGAAATAATAGTTATATTAAGAAAGCATTTGGACTGTTAGTTACCCTTGTTCACCTATTTGTATCCATCTTTAAGATGGATGCTTTATACCTCTGGACCGCTTATTGTAGAAATGTGGTCCAACTTGTATGAAACAATTTTCTTTTATTTATTAGAGGGGCAGAGACCAAATCCCAAAGAATGGGCTTTTTCTTTAGGACGTGGTTAGCATGCAGCCAAGCCCAAACATGTACAAACACGAGCATGACAATAAATATATTTTTTAAGTATAATTTGATCCTAATTTTTAGAGAATATATTATTTTTATGACCGGGTTTCTATGCAGCCAAGCTCGCATATACAGAAATGCGGGTTTATTAACATATCTATTTTTGAGATGGATTTTTGGACTTAATTTTAGGACATGTAATCTCTAACTTGGAGATCATGAATATGAAAACATAAGTAAATTTTAAAAACTAGAAATAATAATTCTAGTAAGAAAATGTTTGGACCGTTAATTTCCATTGTTTTTAGATGGACCACCTACTTTTATCCATCTTTAAGATAGATGCTTTATACTTTTTGGGCCGCATATGTAGTCATGCGGTCCAGCCTGCATGAAACAATTTTCTTAATTTTTAACATATAGATCATGAATATGATAAAGTAAATAAATTTAAAAACTAGAAATAATAATTATATTAAAAAAATATTTAAATCATTAGTTGCAATTGTTTTTACATAGACCACCTATTTGCATCCATCTTAAAGATGGATGCTTTATACCTTTGGACCGCATATTGTACAAATGCGGTCCAGCCCGCATGAAACAATTTCTTATTTTCTTTTATCGTGGCAATATTGTCCAAAAGTATGACTTCATTTATTATCAAGCAAGCTTTCTATGCTTTTCCCTACAATATAAAACTTATATACTTCCCCTTATCCAACTGTCCATTTTGAATGGAGGGCTAAGATTGCCCCAATCACAATGCACCTCTCTACACTATTTTTTTTATATAAAACATTTTGACACCAAATTTTTGGCGTCCTATCTTCTATTAAACTCGCACTTGTAAAAAATATAAAAATAATATTTCCAATAAAATAAAATAACCAAAAAAACCCTTGAAAGATTCTAGGGATATTTTAGTTATTATATTTTATCAAAAAACTATTTTTAATATTTTTTTTAGGTATGCCCCAATGAGAAGATGACGCATACCAAATTTTATATTCATACAATTTGTATAAAAAAATTAAAAATAAAAAACTCTGAGGCGTCAAATATAATATTAAATGATGAGTAGCTCACTTGATCAAAATTGGACGGCTAGATGATAGGAGAATCATAGATCTTCTATGCTGTAGAGAAAGTATAAAAACCTTTCACTTTCTACAAATATTTGATAGGGATGTAGAGAATAAGTTAAACCTCACCTCAAAACTCACATAAAGTTGTAGTTCTATTGTCGTAAAACCTTCAAATGGATAATTTCACCCTTGACTGTTATGATTGTAAAAACAATTTAAGATTTTAAACCCGAAAAATAGTGTATATTTTAACACATTATCTAAACCGTCTATTTCACCCTAAAAAAGCATTTAATCCATAAGATATGCATCATATTTTAAGCTTCAAATATCATAATTAGTGTTGAAAATTGATTTTAAAACCAGATGCCCAAAATACTACTTTTCAGATAATGATGCGAGGGAAGACTTTTACTTGCTTAAGCATCATAGATACTGCATCACTTTCTCCCGATTAAATTTGGTGTGCGGTATGCCTAATCAATGGCATTACTAGAAATCCCCTCTCTCTCACTTCTCTCTTTCTCTCTCTAAATTTAATAAAGCTCTAATTAACTCACTCTCTCTAAATTTATTAGAAAAAAAAAGTTTATATAAGGTTGTAATCTTAAAATATAAAATTACGGATGAACTTCAAAAATTCATATTTTAATGTTAAAAAACCCTCTAATTGATCATTTGGACATCGAAATGTATAAATATGAAAAAAAAAAAGATTTTGAATCTTAAAAATAGTACATCTTACAACACATTATCTATGTCGTTCATTTTCAAGATTTTCATACGTTAATAGATCAAGTTGATTTTAATCATTTTTAAAATTTAAAATTTTATAATTAAATATAAAAATAAATTTCCAAATAATCCTAACAATTTCTTACATCAAATTTACATGCCATATAAAATTTGGAGGGATTCGTTAAGGTTGCAACCATGCAAAAACCACACCCTAAAGCTATAATTAACTCGATAAAACAATCAATTTACCGAGGTGTGTGACCTCAGTAAGCGTGCTCATTGGTGGATTCCGCTGACATTATCTGCTCACTGAATCGGCACAACATTTCAAGTACAGTAACAACTCAAAAGCCCAACTCGTGCACTCTCATTTCTTTCTTTCTCTCTCTAAACTTCACAATAATGGATATCGGCTTGTTATCCTCACACCCCATCTTCTCCCCATCTGTTCCCATGGCCCCTGCTTCAGTTTCAGGATTTGGTTCTTGCCCACCATGCCTCAAATACCCTCTTACCAGTCATGGAAGGAAGTTATTGGTCCCTAGGGCTGCTGTTGCCGTGGAGAACCAGCCCCAAACAAAGGTTTCACTGGTCAGGATTGGGACCAGAGGAAGGTACCTACTTCCTCTCTCTAGATTGTAACTTGAATCTTGACTATTCCTTATGTTGCCTCCACCTCAATTAGATGGGGACTTCAGGAACTTGACACTTTCTCTCTCTAGAATAATTTGAATCTTTAGTGGTACTTTATGTTACCCCAACCAAAGTCATCACTGGTTTTACTTTGGCCGGTGGGAATGGAAATGGAGGAAGATACCCACTTTCTCTCTTAGCTATTACAGTGGATGTATTGTGATTCGTTATTTTCAAATTTTTTGTTTTAATTGTTTATGAATTCATTGGGAAATGTTATTTCTTTGGCTTGAAGAACCCATATTATAAATTTGACTTTTGGTGAAGTTTATGCTGTTAATTCTTGGGGTTTGTGAGAGGATAATTGAATACACATATGGCATACATTGTCAGTTTTCTTTCTCCATTTTTTTCACTCTCATTACCTTTTTTTTCCCTCATTTTTCTTGTTCTCCTATTGTTCTTCCTTTCTGGTTTCCTTTAAGTTTGTTGCCCCAAGCGAAGGGGCACGATGGGTTCAAGGAAAGTAGATCTTCCTGCTTGCCAATGTAGGCCTTGAGCGGCACTCATTAATGTTGAGGTCGAGTTTAGTAGAGGAATTAGGGTTTAGATTTTAGAGTGAGAAAAGTTAATGAATTTTTGTCTTAATAATTTTTTTGGCCAGTGGGGCACTCCCTTTTGAACATTGGCAATGAGATTATAGGGCGAGTCTAGATATTTCGTTTTCATGGTAAGCAAACTTGGAGGAAATATTAACCAAATTTGGGGTTTTTGAAAGCAGATTTGGGGACTCTCTTTCTACTTGTAAGATGTAAGTTTTCTCTATAGGTTCACTTGTAACCTCTTTTAGTTCAGCCAGAAAAGTGATTTATTAAAGAGAAGGATCATTCAGTTCTTCTTCTGTCCGGTTTTCTGCTATGTCAAAATGCATAGTAAGATGCTTACATACTGCGAGGCCAAATTAATGTAAAAGAAAATCTCCACTTTATTTCTTCTCCACAATCTCCTAAATATTCCTCAACGTTTATCTTACTTAGATTCTGTATTCAAGCAGCTATGCATGATTGCGCTTCGGTCTTGTTCGACTTTATGAATGTAGTTTGGTGGCCTTTTACACGCAAAATCTCAACAAGTACAATTTTTTTAATTTGATAATTAACAAGTGTTTGTCAAAATTTTGAGTTTGAGATTTCTCATTTGTATGGGCTATGGCTATATATCATAGATGCTGTCAAAACCTTTGTGATGAACATACAAAAAATGAAAAAGAAAAATAAAGAAAAAGAAAATGTTGGTCATGTGTTTCTTACTCCTACAGAAACCATATAATTTGCTAATATGATTTTAATGAAATGAGGGCATGTAGAAAATCCTGAAGCTCTCTGCTGGTTATCTTAATTTTTCTGTTTTTTTGAAAATATGTGGTTATCTTAATCTTTACCCTTCTAATTCGCAGTTTTAGTGACAAATCCTTCCCTCTTAACTTGCAAATTTGTGGTACTAGACATTGTGCTTCATAATCATACCAATCTTATTTTAAGAGAGATCCAATGATGTTCATTATTGTTTCTGATACCCATTCAGCTCGCCTTTATTTGATGATGGGTTCTGCTCTACTATCGTATGCTTGTAAATTGCAATGTTATGCTCAGATAGTCAGATATCCTTGCAGAGGAATATTTGGCATCAAATTTGTGTGGGAGTTAAATGGCCTGTTTTGGATTCCCATGAGCTCAGTGCTAGACTGTACTACCTTTTTGAAGTCTTCTATGGATGATTTCAGTTATGGCTGTTGAATTTGGGAAAGTACACCTAAACCCAATGATGTTTGAAAACTATAGTCTGTTGGGGTCATCACCATCCAAGGGTATGATGCAGAATAATAATGAAAGTGAGACCCAGAACAGGACATGACCTGAATGGTGGTCTCACTCTAAATCACCATCCAACATTTCATCAGACTGTGTTGACTCCAATAGACTATGGTCTTCCATATTCCATCAGCTCTTAATATACTTATACTATTTCTTTGGGTTTCCCTTTTATTACTTATTCAATGTTGATTAGGATTAATTCAATATTTAGGGGCTTCAAAATATTCAAATCCTTAACCACATGGGTAATAAAAAAGTTAGGTTATCAACTTTTCTTGGTGTTTCGTAAGAGGCCTTATGCCACTGTCTTCCTAGTGACACCGAGAAATATAAATAATGGCACTGATTCTTGTAGTGGTTGATTAACATTTTTTCGGAGTTTCAATTGTCTTCCCTGGGCTAAATTTATTCTTCTTTTCTATTGCTTACCCTTGATGCCAGATGATATTTCTTATACTACTTATGTAGGACAGTCCACTAGCTCTTGCCCAGGCTTATGAGACACGAGATAAACTTAAAGCAACACATTCCGAACTTGCAGAAGATGGTGCTATTGATATCATAATCATAAAAACAACGGGTGATAAAATACTAAATCAACCATTGGCTGATATCGGTGGAAAAGGCTTGTTCACAAAAGAGATAGACGAGGCATTATTGAAGGCTGAAATTGATATAGCTGTTCATTCCATGAAGGATGTGCCCACATATTTACCTGAGGGGACTATTTTACCATGCAATCTCCCTCGTGAAGATGTTAGAGATGCATTTATATGCCTCACTGCAAGTTCACTTGCAGAGCTTCCAGCTGGGAGTGTTGTTGGGAGTGCTTCTCTTCGAAGGCAATCGCAGATACTATACCGATATCCATCACTTAAGGTCGGCCATCTTATCTTAGGCCTTTGACTTGTTCTAATGGCAGAATGTTGTTTTTTCCTTCTCAAAAAAAAAAAAACTCTAATTCCTGTTGATGGGACCATTAATTATTATTTTTGTCTTGTTTACCCATTTATGCCCCACCACAGTTTTCCCTGTGGTAAGTAGTACCAAATTCCATTTCTACTTCTGTTTAGTGCATCCAATCTCCCTTCCATAGACTTTTGTTGTTTGAACTATATGGAGCATTTATGAACAGATAAGGCTCTTTCCTGAGAACAATGAGACCAGACATGATAAATTTGATGCAGACATAAGTTCGTGAAATATAGACCAATAAAAAAAGAATAGTTAATGTTATGTTTCTAGGAAAAAGCATTGGAAGAGGATGATGGAGCTAGGGACGACTTTAAGTATGGGAGGAAACACCAGATTCAGTGGGAAAGAGTGGATGGCATCTCATATTGTTTTGTTGGCCTTTTACTTGATTTTCTCCTCCTTGAGATTGGTTCTGTTTTTGTCCCCCGCCCCAAGGAAAAAAAACAAAAACACCCCTTGCACGGCCTTTCCTTAGATGCATGAATGTAAATTTGCTTGGACTTTGAGTTCTTTTAACTGTCCAATTCTTCATCTGGAAGGAATTGGGTATCCTCTGATTTGTGAAACTCTTTTTTTTACCTCTAAAAGGTTTCTGTGAAGGCTGCATGAGAAGAATGGTCATTCATTTTCTTTTTAACTCATGTGAGTTATGCTGCTCTTGATTAGAAAGGCAAGTTGTAACCTATGCTTTTCTTGCTGTTCACAAAATATTCTGTAAAACAAAGCACCAACTATAGCAAGAAACAAAAGTAAAAAAAAGCCTACCATTAGCTTTCTTATTGTCATCATGTATATCCATGATATTTATAAAAAGAAAAAAAATCATTTATGTTTATGACACTAAGTGCAGTCATTGACAAACAAAACAGATATTTATAAAAAGAAAAAGAATCATTTAAGTTTATGACACTAAGTGCAGTCATTGACAAACAAAACATGATACCTTTCTTTGTGAATATTGGAAATAGCATTTTCATGCCCCCCAAGAAGAATCGATTGATGTTGGACCCCACACATTGGAGTGAGCTAGATGAAATAGTTACGAAGAATGACTTAGTCTGCAGACACAAGTTACAATGGTTAATGTTCCACTAACACGCATGCATTACATTTACTTTGATTCCCAAGTTGTTTTTTTGTTAGTCGAACTTCCATACGAGGAATGCTTCCTTGATCAAATTTCTTCTTATTTGAAGAGCTCTTGTTTCGAGCTTGTTTTTTAGGCTTTTCTTAATTGTCATATGGATTGATATGGTTTAGGTTATCAACTTTAGAGGCAATGTCCAGACAAGATTGAGAAAGTTGGGTGAAGGGGAAGTACAAGCAACCTTATTGGCATTGGCTGGGCTCAAACGCCTAGACATGACTGAGGACGTGACGTCTATCCTATCCATCGAAGAAATGCTTCCAGCTATCGCACAAGGAGCGATTGGTATAGCATGTAGAACCAATGATGACAAGATGGTATGCATTTTCCAAACGTTGCAAGTATATGGGTTTTGAATCATGAATGAAGTTACGAATCGTGTTAATGTGTATATGCGACAAACAAAATACTGTACTGTAGAGGGGCATCTGCCATCTGTTCCTGATGATGGATGGTTGAGATTAAACTGTTCCTGGGTGAATGCTTTGGGAGGGCTCCACTTGGTTAGTCACTTAGTCTCCATTGGGTGTGATTGGGGATGTATGGTGGATACTCGTTTGGAGTTAGGTTTTCCATACTCCATTTTGCTATGCCATACTTACCATATTTTGCTTTTTCATTCAGAGTAGAGTCCTTCACAAGCCCAATTGAACTTGGGATCCCATCATGAACTTGTCCTCATCAATGTTAGAAAAGAAAGAATTTATCCTTGCTCTTGTTCTGTGCATATGAGCTTTGATGGATATTTTATAGGGAAAATATCTCCATAGACCCTATTTTTAAGTTTCATTTCTCCGTAAACCCAAGGTTTCAAAATCTATCTAGCTGCATAAAGATTCTATTTATTACATCTTCAAACCCCATTAACCAACTTTATCCTATTTTTTAGCCCAAACAGATTTTATAAAGACATCCTTTTTAAACCCCTCTATCTCTCTCCAATCTCCCAAACCCCTCTCACTCTCTAGTCCCCCAGCTTTCTCTCCCTCCTCTGTATCTCTCTCCCTGGTCTACCAACTTTCTCTCTCTCCCTGTGTGAGAAGCACATGAAGATAGAGAAACAAAAGAGAACTGGGTTTTCTTTAGAGAGGTCTTTTTCAAATTTGTTTGGGCCAAAAGTTTAAGGTAAAAATAGGTAAACTTAGTTTAGGGGGTTAGAAGATATAAAGATAGAATAAGATAGGTTTGGAAAGTTTGCGTCTACGGAGAAATGAAATTTAAAAATTGGGTCTACAAAGATATTTTCCTTAATTTTATAACCATCAATCTATGGCCATGCATTGCATCCTCTGTGAAACCTTTTTCTACTAGTTTTTCTCTTTCATGTTGTCATAATGGTTTATAATATGGATTAGTCTGTGATATTTGGTATCGAGATTTATGGTCAGACAATAGTGACTGGTTTTCTTGGAAAATTTTGGGATTTCTTGTGAAAATATTGGTTTAAATAAAATATACAAGAAAATTGAAAGTTATAAAACACATTAATTTCCTTGCATATCTTGCCACATCTTGTATGGTTCAAAAAATTTGCCATGTTTGACTTGGAGTCAACCGAGTAGTTAGACTTGGTAGCTGCTGAGTCTGGAAGCTAACACATGGGAATCAGCCAAGTCTGGCTGGTTGTCAATATGTTATTATTTTTGTTTGGACTCGGGCGAGTCTTTGACAGACTTGGCCAAGTTTGTAAGGCTTGAGTTGGGCTTGGGATCCCAAAGCTTCCCAACCGGATTCCTTGCTTTTTAACACTGCTTTTATAGTTTCTCCACTCTAGAGTACCAATTGTGTGTGTGTGTGTGTGCGTCCGTGTGCGTGTGCGTGCGTGTGTGTGTGTGTGCGTGCGTCGGTGGGTGTGTGTGTGTGTTTCGGCATCATTTGGGGTTGATCCTTACTTTGATTATTTAAGATAACCACCTCATACAAACCTCACTATTTATCTATATATATATATATATATATGTATATATATATCCAGAATTCATGTAGCCGACCCCAGATAGTTTGAGAAAAAGCCTTGAGGATGATGATGATGGGATATATATATATATACACATACACATATATACACAGTCACACTAAATGTAAGACTGACCTTTGAGCATCGAATTTCTAAACTGCAGGCCAATTATATTGCATCCTTGAATCATGAGGAAACCAGGCTTGCCGTTACATGTGAAAGGGCGTTTCTTGAGACTTTGGATGGGTCTTGTCGCACACCAATTGCTGGCTATGCTCACCGTGACAAGGATGGATACTGCATATTTAGAGGTTTAGTTGCATCTCCAGATGGAACCAGAGGTATTGCTTCTATAACCTTTACTAGCTTTAAAAGGAGTCACGTTTAGGAGGACTCACTTTAGTAATGCTATCATAATCTTAAAAAGAAATGAATGAATCCTAAAACGAAACAATTAATTTTGAAGTGTTTATAGTTTTATAGGTTCCTAATTCTGATATGAATTCATCTCACTTGTAGTGCTTGAAACATCAAGAAAAGGTAACTACGATATTGAGGATATGGTTGAGATGGGGAAGGACGCTGGGAAAGAGCTGCTTTCACGTGCGGGTCCTAGCTTTTTTGATTGGTAGCTGTGATAATTCAAATTGGCATCGGCTTTAGCTTTTTCAATTTTTGGGATGCATTTGAAAATGTCATCCTTGAGGTGTAACTGTTTAGTGTAATTTATAGAGAACTTTGAGGGGTTTGAAAGTTTCATCTTTTTTGAGTTGTAATTGGCATTAGTGTTACTGTTAAAAAAAATTGTTTATTGAGAATTCAAGAGTCTCACGGATTGGACCTGAAATGGGAGAGTAAGTATTTGAGGGACCTTAATCCTATTAGAAGAAGGGCATGCCATGAACAAGCGGATATAGCCATGAAGGAAAGCTCAAACTCTAAATGAAGGTACCGGTAGAATTGTTAGATTAGTAGTAGTTAGCCCCTACAAGTTTGTAGTTCATTTGGGATTGCTATTGAATGGAGGTAATGGTTCAGCACTGCTATGCTGTTGTACTCTGTACGGTAAGAAAAACGGCCGGGAAGGAAATGAAAACCATTGCTTTTTGTAGGTGTTTGGCATGAACTGTTTGATTTTAGTGTTCCCAAACCCATAATGCTGCCCCCCACAGAATATCAAGGCTTTCAAGTCTGTGAACAGAACAATTACTCATCTCCACCATCTGCTGATGGGGATACAAAGGTTTTGTGTTGTTTAGCTGCCCTTAACACTTTGTATTATCCATGCTGTCAACATGATTAATGTCATGCATATGGTATTGGGGTGCTGATTAGGTGGTGAACATCACAAACTTGTTTATGTTGGTGAAATCTCTTCTCCCTCGATTGAAGGATCGGGGATACTAACTATAATTGATTGGATAACTATTTTGATATGGGCATCATTAGATTATTTTCATTTTTATCATTTTCTCTTGGAAGGATTTTTGGTCTGGCAAAGGTTGAGAATGGGGCTGGGCTAGGCCACAAAAAGTGGCTTGAGGTCTGGGCCAGGCTAGGCCAACACTACCTGAGGGCCAGGTCGGCCGTTTTGGCTCCTTCAGCACAATCAAGGTAGGGCTGACCACATAAGGGCTCGGGCCACGGTCAGGGCCAGGGCCAGGGCTAGGGCCAGGGCCGACCCAACTTAGGCCCAGTCAACTGTAGTTGGGACGACTTTTGGTTATTTCATGGAAGACTTTGGCCGTTAATTATTATTAGTACTAATTATTATTAATAAACATCTCACACTCTAATATCAATCCATAAAAATTTTTCTCCTGAGAATGGTCAGGAACCTGAGGCCATAGTTAAAGTCCTTCACAAGAAGATAGCAAGCTCCCAATTGACAAAACCTCACTCATGTACCGACTTTATGCAAGAGAGAGAGAGAGAGAGAGAGAGAGAGAGAGAGAGAGAGAGAGAG